GGCGGGGCTGGCCATGGCACCCCCCACCCGGCTGGCACCCGGGGCGGACCGCCCCCCCCGCCCCCCCCCTTAGTACGCCACTGGGTCAAGGAGACTTCCATCACAAAGGGGTAGGTATTTTCTGTAAGGGGTTCAGCCATCTTAATAATCTCAGCTTGGAACAGCTTACCTGTATTGTTGCCTGAGCTTGTTTCCACCAGAGCCTCCATGGATATTGATAGTGTCCTGGCAACTCTTCGGGCTGAGGCCCTTCAGGATCGCAGGGCTCAGCTTGCCTGCGATGGTGGCATATAGCCACCCGTGGTGGGTGCGACCTCCCCCCCTCTGGTTTTAGCCCCTCTTCTGGTGGCTGGGTATCCCCCAGGCGCTGGAGCCTCAGTCCGGCCTAGCGGCCTAGGTGGTCCACGTCTGTGAGGTCTAGGACCCACGAGGTGGGGGCATCCACTCACTCTCTGAATCCACGGTCATGAAGGCAGGTGCGGACCCCAACGTCTCTCCACCTCAGGCTGCCAGGAGGTTAGCGGCAGCCCGAGTATCGCGTCAGGATGTCAAGCATGTGTCCCTCTCCTTGGTTAGGCAGTGTGCCAGTCGGGCCTCCGGGACAAGGTGGAGAAGGAAGTTATATTGGGGTGCATGGCGGGGCGTTTCCAGTCTCTGCTGTTTTTGCTATTGCGTGTTTCTCCTTTGGGTGTAGTTCCTAAGAACTGCGTCGGGGGTGTAGAATTCTGAACTCCCATAAAACAGTCCCAGGCACCCGGTTGTTGGGCATTTTTCAGGTTCAGCCTCGGGTATGCGCTTTAGATTCTGAGGTGGTGGTGTTCAGCGTGACGTTCTCTTTTGCGAGGTGTTTGGGTGATTGGACACTCCTATGTGTATTGGGCCCATCGATGTGCTGATGTCCACCCAGGTGGGCTTCGCCTGGGTCTATCTCCTGCGGTGACAGACGTCTGTTGGTTAGGTTTTTGGGGCATGCATTGGGTTCATCTGCTGCCTGAACTGGTCCAATTGTCCTGTTTGTTAGGAGTGCCAGACGTCTTGGTGATCCACCTATGGCGCAACGACCTTGGCAATTCCCCGGTATTGGGACTGTGGGACATGATTGGGTGGGATTTAGCTCAGGTGCTTTTACTTTTCCCAGATGTCTGTATAGTCTAGTCGGAGGTGGTGTCCCGGAACTATTGGTGGTGTGCCAGGGATCAGCGCGCAAATTTAGCGGAGCAGGGTCAAACTCAATAAGCTAGTGTCTAAATTTATACATGGGATTGGGGGCATTGCGGTTCGGCGTTTTTGAACAGAATGCAGCTACATTTTTCAGGAGTGATTGGGTGCATCTCATGGACGTTGAGTTAGATCTGTTTAATCTGGCTTTGCAAGAAGCTATGGAGGAGGCCATGGCTGGTTTGGTGGGGCAGGCCCACTGATTTGAGGGGTTAATCAGTGGGGGTTGTGGCGGAAAAGGTCACTTGTCAAACAGGGTTGGACCAGCGGTCCAGAGGAAAAGGATGAAAGGGGCTGATCCCTTCCCTAACCTCGGTTATGATAATGGGTAATGTCATTGCCCAATGAGCCGGAGGCAGGCCATTGGTTAGCATGGAGTTAATGTTAGGCCAGTTGTGAGGCCAGTTTGTGTATAGAACGAGGGGGGAGGGCAGGTGCCCAGGATCAGCAGGAATGGTTGGCAAGGGAGTTAAATTAGTAATGTGATGTGTTTAAAACTAATGTTATTAATTGATTTTATTAAAGCTGTGGCCTGTTTGTCACCATCAACGTCTTGCGTCGGTTTATTAAGGTAAGCTAATAAAATGGGTATTCACATCTACACGGTACCTACTACCTTCACACATGTTAAAGCCACCACCAGTTACACAAGTTCTGTTTAAACCTTGTGGCTGGAAGATACTCAGAGATGCATACTGCTAGCATGCAGTGCTACACAATCCCAAACACAAAACGTGATACACGTAGATACACACATATATTCACACTGCCATACACAAACACAAATACAAAGTGATAGATGCAAACACTGAAACATACTGCTAGACACACAGACACACTCCCAGACTGACTCAGATACTGCTGCCAGATATACACATTTGCAATTTGCTAGATCCATATAGTAACATGCACAAGTGCATACTGCCAGAAACAAAAACTAGATGTGTCCTTAGTAGTAGTATTATTATTATTTCCATTTACACTAAACAAAATTATAAACGCAACACTTTTATTTTTGCCCCTATTTTTCATGAGCTGAACTCAAAGATCTAAGACTTTTTCTATGTACACAAAAGGCCTATTTCTCTCAAATATTTTTTACAAATCTGTCTAAATCTGTGTTAGTGAGCACTTCTCCTTTGCCGAGATAATCCATCCACCTCACAGGTGTGGCATATCAAGATGCTGATTAGGCAGCATGATTATAGTAACGGTGTGCCTTAGGCTGGCATCAATAAAAGTGCACTCTAAGAGTGAAAGAGTGAAAGAGGAGGATCGGTATTAGGAGGAGGAAAGACAAGGAGCTCAGTTTTAGAGAGATTGAGTTTCAGAAAGTGGGAGGACATCCAGTCAGAGATGGAAGAAATGCAAGCAGTGACACATTGCAGGATGGCAGGGCAGAGGTCTGGGGAGAAGAGATATATCTGGCTGTCATCAGCGTACAGGTAGTAGTGGAATCCAAATGAGGTAATAAGTTTGCCAAGGGAGGCAGTATAAAGAGAAAATAGGAGACCAAGGACAGAACCTTGGGGGACTCCAACCCAGACAGGACGAGGGGAGGAGGTATCATTAGAAAAGGAGACACTGAATGAGCGTTGGGAGAGATAAGAGGAAAACCACGAGAGGACAGAGTCACAGAGACCGAGCTATTGAAGAGTTTGAAGGAGGAGAGCATGATCAAAGGTGTCAGAGAGGTGAAGAAGAATTAGTATGGAGTAATGAAATTTTATGTTTTTCTGTATGGATTCCATACAAAAACAAAATGTTGTCTGGTCCAAAATTTATTTTGGCCACTAGTTGATTTATTTCGAACCACATGTCCATTCCTATGAATGGAATGCAGTGATTGTGGGTCACTTTAGTATTGCCTGTTACCTCCTGATGGTGGCCTTGTATTGACATATAATAGTACTCTACACACAATTCACTAAATATAATGAAAGAGGACGTTGTTTTTTTTTTATTGCCACTTTGTGACACTGAGCTTGCAATTTTCTTATATATATATATATATATATATATATATATAAATATATACACACACTGTATATATTATTTGTATGATTGTTGGTATACTCAAGTGGTAAGAAGTTACATTAGCCACTACAAACATGTATTACTAACCTTTATTGTTAACTTGTCTAGTTGTTTTAATTTGTTGGCAAAAACAATTTAATTTAAGAGTAATAATAATGTTATCCATAGTATTTGTTTTAAAATTACATTTTTCTTTCCTTTTCCTTTTTTTCTGTTTGATATTTTGAGAATAAAGAATTATCTTTTTTCTAATCTTCTACATTATTTTTATTATGATTCAGAGAACCATCTGTTATATTTGTATTGGAAAAATGAACAGGGCTGAGAAGCTGGTATTTATCTGAGGGCAAGATGAATAGAGACAACTGCACAGCAATTTTAACAGGAAAACCTGTGAACTAGGAACCATGGAAGGAGATGAAACTCATCTTCCAACAAATTGTTGACCTTAATACACATTCTCAGATTTGTACTTGTGAGGTTTAAAAACACAACTTTAATTTTTTTTAATGGAACACTCCAGGCACCATACGCATGGCAGCTTGCTGGATTAGTTATTGTGCCAGGAGTGCCCTGCGTTCCACAGTAGTAAGGAGTCCATTTTTGGATAGTTTGACTTCTTACCTGGGTCCGCTGGGTACCACTCTGCCAATACCGCCTCAGTATGAATTTTAGTTCACTTGAGCTAGCTTAGCTTATTCAATGAGAGCATTAGCTGAACACTTTCAGCTAAAGGACTAATGGTTTAAACCTTAACTACATTCATCTTAATTCCATTGAAAAGTTAAAAGGGATGAGCATTCTACAAAAGTTACTGTACATTTAGCCATAAAATGTAACATAACTAGGCAGAACAGCAACAAAATATGGCTTAAAATGAATTGCTATGTGGAGTTGCTGACCCCTGCAGGCAGACAGTAGTATAAGGCACTTAAAATATATATTATTTGTTTTGCTATTATTATTACTATCATTATTATTATTATTATTATTATTATTAACATCAACATATTAATGTTACAATTCAGCAGGTAAAAAAGATGGGGTGTGCTTGCAAATTGGAGAATAAATATAGTGATGGGTAAAGCTGTAGAGCTTTATAGGTTGATGTCCATAATCCGAATTGGATTTACAAGAATACCAATGTAAAGATGTACAAAAGGATGCGTAAAAGGAGCAACTGGTAAGATATCTCGTATTAGCATTCATTATAGATTGTGAGGAGACGAACTGGGCTTTGAGGAGTCTGGTAATTAGTTATTTACAGAAATTAAATAATAAATACAAAATAAAGTGTCTTGTATTAAAAGGGGCAAATATGAACAATATTCTAAAGGAATGCTATAGTGTTAAAAATACAAACATGTATTCCTACCATTATAGTCTTGGAGTGGTTGTGTACAACCCCCTCCAGATTGCATTGAAAAGGTGATTTTTTTAAAAATTCTTTATTTTTGGTGTTTTATCGAACAAGCAATGCACATAGAATCCAAGCTTTCCCATATTTTACGAGTGTTAGGTTTAAATCTGAACATATGGGTTTACAAGAAATAATGAAAATATGAACAGCCCTGCGTTGGGGGGCAAGCATCTGTGCCTAGACAGCTTCTCTATGTCCTCTCCTATCTTA